CTTTCTGTCTGTCTGTCTGTCTGTCTATCTATCTATCTATCTATCTATCTATCTATCTATCTATCTATCTATCTATCTATCTATCTATCTATCTATCCATCCATCCATCCATCCATCCATCCATCCATCCATCCATCTATCATCTGTCTGTCTATCATCTATGCCTGCCTGCCTGTCCGTCCGTCCGTCCGTCCGTCCGTCCATCTATCTATCTATCTATCTATCTATCTATCTATCTATCTATCTATCTATCTATCTATCTATCTATCTATCTATCTATCTATCTATCTATCTATCTATTATCTGTCTGTCTATCATCTATCCCTGCCTTTCTTTTTTTCTGTCTGTCTGTCTAATCTATCTAATCTACCTATCTACCTATCTACCTATCTACCTATATCGTGTGTGCTAGTGTTACAATGGTTTTGCCAAAAAACAGCACTTCCAGTCTTGGTTTGCTTGATCAGTGTGGCATTCACTGAAGACCCCTGCAAAACAAGTGATGCTGCATTTTCCTTCCCCCTCTTGCTTCCGCAGAGTTTTCGCTTTGGCTTCGAAATCGCTTACGTTGGCGCGACCATTCTGGACGTCTCCCAGGGAGTCCGGAAGAAAACGCTGGTGGGGAACAAGCAGGAAAGTGAGTCTTTGAAGCCCGTCGTCCTTTTGTTGCTCCAGGTGAGTCTGGCTAGGCGGGACTGAGGCGGTGCTCTCTTTTCGACAGGTGACGTCAGTGGGGTCGGCGTGGAGGGGAAGGTGGCCCACTTATCCCGGACCAACAAAACTGTCTTTGAGGATGCTGTGAAACTTACCCGTGGAGACGCACCTGCTAAGATACACTTGCTCGGGGTGAGTGTGAGAAGGCGCAGGAAGGACACAGTAGGAGTTCCTCCCTCCCTCTCCTCTTTTCCTACCTTCTCTCCTTTTTTCCTACCTTCTCGTCTTCCCTTCTTTCTTCCTTCCTCCCTCCCCATCTCCTTCAGCCCTCCCTCCCTCCCTCTTTTCCTTCTTCTCTTCTTCCCTTCTTTCTTCCTCCCTCTCTCCCCATCTCCTTCAGCTCTTCCTTCCTCCCTCCCTCCCTCCCTCTTTCCCTCCCTCCTCTCTATCTTTCTCCTCCCTCCCTCCCTCTAAAAACTAAAAATCCATAGCTTCAAGAGATGGTTGGACTTTTTGTTGGCAATTTTTACTCCAGTGTTGAAGATGTTAATGTTCCCTAAAAGACTGAACTGTTTGATTCATGACACCTCCAAAGTTAATATTCTTGAGATATCTGCAGTGTCCCTGTTGTGCTTCAGCATCTCAGGGTTGTTTATAGCGTACAGAATGACAGAGTTGGAAGGGACCTTGGAGGTCTTCTAGTCCAACCCTCTGCTCAGGCAGGACACCCTCTACCATTTCACACAAGGGGCTGTACCAGTCTCTTCTTAAAATCCTCCAGTTTTGGAGCACCCACAACTTCAGGAGGCAAGCTGTTCCCCTGGTTAATTGTTCTCACTGTTAGGGAAATTTCTCCGTAGTTCTAGGTTGCTTCTCTCCTTGATGAGTCTCCATCCGTTGCTTCTTCTCCTGCGTCCCGGTGCTTTGGAGGATACGTTCTTTGTGGCAGCCCCTCAAATATTGGACGGCTGCTATGTTGAGGAATGTGTGGCAAAACCAGTGGATTCTACAGATGCATCTTAATGTTTGGAGGGCATTAAGGAGCCCCAGAGGGCGGACAGATAATTATGACTATGCATCGGACTACGTGTCCCATCTCAGAGGGCTCTACTTGATGTTGTTCTTGTTTCTACTTGATGTTGTTCTTGTTGTCCTCTTTTAATCAGGGACTCGAAGCCTTTGGCCTTGACCAGATTCGTGATATCTGGGCGCTTCTTCACGAACGTGAGTTCTCTCTGCCGGTGTTTGTGTAGATGTCCAAGCTGTGTGTACAGGCAGCGCTTCACGGAGCCTGCCCAATGTGGCCATATGTTGTGAAGTCATAAAATGGGTCAGTTATGCGGCCAACCTGCTTTTACGACCCTTTCTGCAGGGGTCATTGAGCGAGATCTCTGGTTAAGTGAATCAAGGGTTCGCTGTGGGTGAGAGTTTTCAGCAAAGCCTTGTAAAACCCGGTGATTTTGAACGTAGGAAACTGGGGACAGCCATAAAGGCTACCCCGTTGCCCCGTGACAACACAACAACAAAGGAGGCTGGAGTGTCACAACTTCAAACCTGGGTCGTAAGTCCCTGTTTTCGGATCAGTCTTTGGGCAGCCTCAACCGTTTGTTTAGTGACCGTTCGAAATTACGACAGCACTGAGAACAGTGACTTACGACTGCTTCTCACCCTTAACGGCCGTCGCAGCCTCCCCGTGGTCACGTGATCAAAATTCAGACGCTTGGCAACTGGCAGGTACTTAGGCTGGTTGCAGTGTCCCCGGGGGGTCACGTGATAATAATAATAATAATAATAATAATAATAATAATAATAATAATAATAATAATAATAATAATAATAAAGTTGGAAGGGACCTTGCAGGTCATCAAGTCCAACCCCCTGCCCAGGCAGGAACCCTACACCATTTCAGACAAACGGCTGTCCAGTCTCTTCTTAAAAACTTCCAGTGTTGGAGCATTCACCGCTTCTGGAGGCAGGTTGTTCCACTGGTTAATTGTTCTAACTGTCAGGAAGTTTCTCCTTAGTTTTAAGTTGCTTCTCTCCTTGATCAGTTTCCACCCATTGCTTCTCGTCCTGGGAGATCTCCCCCAGCTGACCATAGGAAAAAAAGGTTGTAAAGTCGGACGTGACTCACTTAACAACCCGCCTTGATCTTCTTAGGGAAACTCGAGATACAGGATCCCTTCATCCAAAGCTGGGAAGGCTTCGCCCTCTTCAAGAGCTATGCGAAAGAAGCAGAAGACGAAGAACTAAAATCAAAAATTGCCATTGTGGAGAAAACTCCGGGTTCTATTCCGGATCTGTTGGACAAAATATCCCAGCACCATGTCTCGGCTCCAGAAGAGGCAGGTAAATATCCTGCGCAAAGAACCAGATCCAGACGAATGGCATTCAAACTAGCTTCTTTATTATTATTATCGTCTGCCTATAATATAGATAGTCCTCCACGTACGACAGTTCCTTTAGTGACCGTTCAAAGTCACAACGGCACCGAGAAAAGTGACTTATGACCGTCTTTCACACTTCACGACCGTTGCCGCGTCCCCAGGGTCCCGTGATCAAAATTCGGACGCTTGGGAACGGACTCACATTTATGACGGTTGCCCTGTCCCCGGAGTCATGTGATTCCCCCTTTTGCGACAATCAAAGTCACTCAGGAAGCTAGATTCGCTTTACAGCCGTATTAACATAACGACTGCAGTGATTCGCTTAACGGCTGTGGTCATAAAATGGAGCAAAGCTGTCACCTAATGGTTGTTTTGCTCAGCAATGGAAAGGTCATGATTCCGAGCGAGACCGAACAAATCAGAACTTTGAGGCTCAATTTGGGCTCAGTTGTGGTCATAAGTTGGGGACTACCTTAAAGCCAGGTAAAATTGGGGTTCAAATGGGATCTTTGACAGGAAAAAAAAATAAATCTTTATGAGGTACATGAGCTCAACCGATGATGTTACCTAGTTGGGTCATGAAATGTCTGCAAGAAAACAGCCCAGCTCAGGACCCCACAGTCTTCCTCCTCTTCCTCTTCCTCTCTGCAAACCCCACTCCCTTCTAATACTGATGATGTTCCCTAGTTGGGTTATGAAACATCTACAGGAAAACCACCAAGTCAGAGAGCACCAAAGACCATACAGTCCTCTGCCACCACCTCCTCCTCCTCCTCCTCCTCCTCCTCCTCCTTCCTGCAAACCCCGCTCCCTTCTAGCACTGATGATGTTCCCTAGTTGGGTCTTGAAACGTCTGCAAGGAAACCACCCAGCTCAGAGAGCACCAAGGACCCCACAGTTCTCCCTTCCTTCCTTCCTTCCTTCCTTCCTTCCTTCCTTCCTTCCTTCCTTCCTTCCTTCCTTCCTTC